TTAAATCAATTAATTTATAATATATATATATATATATATATATATATATATATATATATATATATATATATATATATTCTGGAAGAATTCTAGTAGATTGAAATTTATGAGATGTTCCTCTATCCAGAGTATTACTCAGATTAGAAAATATCGATTGATACTGTTCATAATATAAATCTAGTGTCAGACCGATGCCTGCCTGGCTTTTGAAAGACTTACCTGTACTAAGCTTTTATTTAGCTGAGTTTCTAAACTGTGTCTATGTCATTGATAACTGCGTGCTACTGATATTGTCCTTTTTCCCAATTCGTAGTAGTACACAATTATCAATGTATCAATGTCGTTAGCACAGTCCCAAAACTTGATATTTGTAAATAAAAACGAAGTGGCCCTTTATGAAGTCAGAGATCCGTTTTGATTCCGTATTTATAAATGTGAGCACCTTCGTCCTAGCGCCATCTAAATTATTTAAAAAATCAGTATATTTTTGTAGTGTCCTGGTTGCGACAGGAAAAAGGATCCAGGGATTCGGGAACAAATGCAAGAGAAAGCTCCTCCTACTTGGAGCACAAAACCATTGCTTATGTACGGGGGAAAGGCCAGAAGTCTCGCCAGTCCGACAAGAATATCTTCTCGACACTGTTAAGCGTCGGAAGATGACATGGTTTGGTCGCGTCACACGATATAACAGCCTCTGCAAGACCATTATCCAAAGTACTGTTGAAGGCTGACGCAAGCAGTGGGGCGGTAAACAGTGGTCAGACAACACCAAAGATAGGCGGACATGACAATGCCAGAACTCCTGAGAGCCACCGCCAATAGATCATCCTGGAGGAGTCTATCTGTTTCTTCTGCCCTTAGACACACCCGAGGATTGAAGCGGTCAAAGAAATGATGATGAGGAGGAGGAATCACTCCTTGTTATTAAGTAGAGGAAGATGTCATGGTTTATGCACGACATGCAGTGTAACAGTCTCTGCAAGACCATCATGCAAGGCACTGCTGAAGGCGGACGCAAGCAGGGACAGCAAACGCTGGTCAGACAATATCATAGAGTAGACGGACATGACAATTCAGGAAATCCTGAGAGCCATAACTAACAGATGATCCTGGTGGAGGCTATCAGTTTTTTTCTGCCCTTAGGCACTCCCGAGGATAGAAGCGGCCTTGAGTTATCTCAAACACACAGCCAATGAAATAAAAGCTGATCTTGATAGAAAAGCACATGATCGAATATTAACAATCATAGATTGGCCTCAGTATAGACCGAGCCAATATTGAAACAGCGGGGAATCATCTTGAGAAAGAACAGGACAAAAAATCATCCAGTATCCAAAGAAGAACTTTGGAAGATCCTTCAAGAAGCCCGAAGAACTATTCCTGAACACTAATTAAAGCAAATACAAGAAAAGCAAGAGTAGAGTTCAGACCGTGTTGAAAAATACCAGATATTGATTTCGAAACTCGTTAGAATTGTACAAAACTTTTCTTTTTTCAAATAATTGCCTTTAATGTTTGCAAATGCTTCAATAAATCGTAACACATGCTTTGTTGTTTTCACAAGAAAATGAAATAGGAATGGTAAATATATATTTGAACAGTACTAAACCTATAGTAGTCTGACACAAGACTCAAAAGCATTAATTAGTTCAGAGGCAAATCTATGATACTAGACGCCCCCTCAACTACATCCCAATTTTCGTAATGTAGTATTCATATAAAATACAAAATAACCTAATTATGTACAATAATGGACCATATGCAATATAGATGAAAAATTCAACTAGAAAAATTGAAAATAAATACAATGTATCTAAATACAAATTAGAGACATATCATCACAGATAATTCCATCTTAAATAAATCAACAATGTTTTACGGCAATTTTTAACACCAGCTCAAGATTTTTCTTGTTAAAAAGTTGAAGAATTTTAACACACTTAACTAATGTTGAACGTGTTAAAATTATTCATCTTTGGTCATGAAGGGGTAAAACAGGCAACATGAAGACCCACTTCAGACCACAATTATTTTGGAGTTTTTGAAATTCAATTTGTCAGTGTGCTACCAGGGATGTAAAAGAGGATACATTTATAAAGCAATTGTTAAGTTTAATGAAAATTGGTTGAAAGATCAACGAAAAATAAGAAACCATTAAAAATCGCCATTTTTCGTTATTTACGAAGTTTTCACTATATGGGTGGAGTCAATTATCAAGTTAAATGACTGTTAAACAATCAACTTATTGTTAGCTACAATTGATTGAAGTTTGTATTAGATTGCTTGATCCTTTGAGGAAGGTTTTTAGTTTAAAATTTATGTTGGAATCGATTTTTCGTTTAACGGTTTTTTTTCAATAAACGCAGTGGCGGAAAAAAAATGAGGTTAATCGTTGAGTTCGTTATTATGTAAGTAACCTACATACCGAGTTTGAACGAAATCGGACAAAAATGAAATGTATCGATTTTTGATCGGATTTATCGATTATTGATTTTTTTAAAATTATCGATTTTTTATGCTAAGAACCTATCTCTTACATTGTACAATGTATGTGACAAGTTTGGTCAAAATCGGTTGGATGGATCTCTAGTGAAAAGGTACCACACAGACAGACAGACAGACATCCTCTGTTTTATATATATAGATTATTGATCATATGCAATATAGGTGAACAATTCAAATAGAAAGATTGAAAATAAATACAATGCATCTAAATACAAATTAGAGACATGTCATAATAGATCATTCCATATTAAAGAAATCAATAATGTTTTGTGACAATTTTTAACATTAATTTGAGATGTTTTCTTGAGAAAATATGGAAGAATTTTAACACATTCAACATTATGGAAAAATTGTGCATTTTATAGAACTTTTTTTTTTTTTTAAACTTTGCATGAGCAAAACAAGTTTATGGATTTGGGCAAAAAAGAAAGACCCGAGAATGACGTCAAAAAATGCGAAGACTCCATAATACTCAGTTGTGCTTAACGTATATATCGATTTTCCAAGCATAGCTTAGATGTGATACAAGATCGAAAGTAGAGGCCACCCAGTGAGGATCGAACTCACTACTCAGCCGTAATTGTTTTAGCGAAACAAGCTTGCTAACTATTACAACACGACGAGATGCTCAATGTTTTTTTACGCGTAGCTTAGATGCGTCACAAGGCCGAAAGTATGGGACACCCAGTGAGGATCGAACTCACAGTTCAGTTGTAATTGGTCTAGAGAGACAAGCTTGCTAACCATTACACCACGTTGAAGTGCCACGTGTATAAATGTAGGTAGAAAAAAAAAAGAATCAAATGTTGATCAGATAGCAACAGTCACAAATCACGGACCGGACACCAAATTTGTCTTTTCCCGCGCCTGAAAGTTAATATAAAATAAAATGAAAACATTCGATATAAGATGGCCAGTAATAAAGTCACAGGGGGAAAAAAAGTCAGAAAAAAAAAAACTACATTTAAAAAATTCTTGTTTTTTTTCGAGCGACATGTATAAAAATATTTGGACGGAAAAAAAAGACCCCAGAATGACCTCAAAATCCGCGAAATGTGTAACTAATCATCCTTTTTAGCAAGTTGTCAGTCTTCAAGTTTAATTTGTGAAATGTATACATAATGTTTATAGTAAAAAAAGGAAATGTTTATAAGAAGATTTAAGGCACACAAAGCACTACCTGGGGCCCCAATCAGTATTTAATGATAAAAAAAATAAAAATAAAAAAAATATTCGATGTAGGATGAGATTCTTTTAAGGTAATAAAGTCACAGGAAAAAGAGACAAAAAAAATTAATTATTTAATAAATGGAAGGAAAAAAAAGCTACATTTAAAATGTCTTGGTTTAATAACAATCAGTTGTGTTTAGTTTAACTTGTAACGTATATAAATATAGGTTGAAAAAAAAGCAAATATTGATAAGGTAGCGAGGTTTACAAATTGATGATAATGGGAACCCCAATCAAATTTAGTCAATAAAACACGAAAATAACGATTTTGTTTGCACCATCCGCATGATGTAAAAACTGTTTTTAATATAAGTATGCCAAAAAACACATTATAATCATTTTACAAAATTAAATGTTTGAATTTTCGTGAATTTTTTTTTGTTAAAAAGTAGAATAATTTTAACACGGCCAACATTATAGATAAAAAATAGGAAATTTTATTTTTATTTAGTGCTTCTTCGACATTTAACATGACTGAAAAGATAAAACGCGTATTTGCAAACCCTACAACACAAAAATATGTCAAAATCTGCGAAAAAAAAATTAATCTTTTAATAGTTGTGCTTAATTAATTTTTAACGTATATAAACGAAGGTAGCAAAAAAAAAAAATAAATGTTGGTAAAATTGCGAGGGTTTTCAAAAAACATTAAGAAAGAAATTTTCCCAATCAGGATAAACCCTCCAGTCAGAATATTGAGCCTGAAATAATTTCAAGTCCATCATTTGAGAAGGTTTCAATTTATCTAAAATATTATAAATTTAAATCTTGTTTTTTCAACTTGGCTGAACATTGACTTTGAAAATCTGAAAGAAATTAAATTAAAAACAACACACACACACACACACACACACACACACACACACAAATATATTTATATATATATATATATATATATATATATATATATATATATATATATATATATATATATTATTTATTTATGTATTCTTTTTTGTTTTTGGTAGAGAAGCATTTATTAAAACTAGACAATCTGAACTTAAGTTTGGTTTCGTCTCGTTTACCAGCCACTCCCAACGTCCCATATTGGGGCCAAAATTTATTTAGATTTTAATTATAAAAATTAATTAATGTAATGTCTACAGTCAATAACCTGGTGAAGAGGGACGCTTAAGTGTCGAACACTTATCAGTTGCGAACCAAGATTTGGCGAAGTTCTCGTTCATTCTCGCGAGAAACAAAGAATGTTTAAAATGAACCCGTATATTTCCTGCTTCCATTAGAATGAAGTTTGTGATAGGAAATTAATGAGATAGATAGATAGATAGATAGATAGATAGATAGATAGATAGATAGATAGATAGAAGGAAAGAAAAAAGAAATGAACAGACTGAAATAGATAGATAGATAGATAGATAGATAGATAGATAGATAGATAGATAGAAGGAAAGAAAAAAGAAATGAACAGACTGAAATAGATAGATAGATAGATAGATAGAAAAAGAAAAAAGAAATGAACAGACTGAAATAGATAGATAGATATTTATAGATAGATAGATAGATAGATAGATAGATAAAGATAGATAAAAAATGAAAAAAGATATGAAAAGATAGATAGATAGATAGATAGATAGATAGAAGGAAAGAAAAAAGAAATGAACAGACTGAAATAGATAGATAGATAGATAGATAGATAGATAGATAGATAGATAGATAGATAGAAGGAAAGAAAAAAGAAATGAACAGACTGAAATAGATAGATAGATAGATAGATAGAAGATGGATAGAAAGAGATGAGAAAAAGAATAGATAAATAGATGAACTGAGAATAGATAGATAGATAGATAGATAGATAGATAGATAGATAGATAGAGAGAAGAAGAAAAATAAAAGAAATAAACAGACTGATTAAAGGAAAGATAGAAAGATAGATAAATAGATAGATAGATAGAACAGAAAGAAAAAAAAAAATAATGAAACCCAAAATAGATGAGATAGATAGATAGATAGAAAGATAGAAAAGATGAATGAATAATAGAAGGAAATGGAAAAGAAAAACAGAAAAATAGATAGAATAGATAGATAGATAGATAGATAAAAATTAGAAAAAGAAAGAAACAGATGAAGAAATGATAGATAGATAAATAGATAGATAGATAGATAGATAGATAGATAGATAGATAGATAGATAGAAGGAAAGAATGAAAAGATAAACAGATATGAATAGATAGATAATTAGATAAATAGATTAATAGATAGATAGATAGATAAAGAAAAGAAAAAAAAATTGATAGAATGAGATAGATAGATATATAGATGGAAAGAAAAAAAGAAATGAAAAAGATTGAAATAGAATAGATAGATAGATAGATAGATAGATAGATAGATATTTAAGGATAAAAAAAAATAAATCAACAGATTATTTTATTTATAGAAATATTTACAAACATAGAAACAAAACAAACAAACAAACAAAAGATTAAAAGAAACATTTATTTAAAAAAAAAAAAACTTTCATTTTGTTCCAATATAATAAATTTTTATGTTAAGGTCAAGCGACCAAAAAAAAATTCAATAATATCATTCTTTTATTAAAAATGAATTACCATGAAAAAAATAGAAAAATGAAGTTACGCAATATTCTTTTTAATTTTTTATGACTGTTTTGAATTCAAAAGTATATATTTTTTTTTCAATGGTGGAAAGGTGATTATATCTCAATCTTAAATTTTTAAAAATGTGAATGAAAATTGTCAATTGATGAATTTTTTAAAAATAAAAATGAATAAAAGTGGATTCCATTTTTTGATTTCAAAAATATTTTTTTAAATTTAAAAATTTAAATTCATTTGAATTCAGGGTGAAAAAACATAAAATAAATTTAAAAGACTTCATTATCTTTATTATTTCATTATTTTGTCAGATAACTAGGGATATCTGAATCGTCCACTTTTTTTTGTTTCCTAAAATGATTCTGTATTATACTGATCATGGGATTTTTTTCACGATGACTATATCAAAAATAGATCGAACCACTGTTTTAATCCATATAATAATATTTTTGTTCAAGGAAAGCTGAAACCTTAAAAATAATGTAATATTGGTAACTCATCCCAGAAAATTGGACAGATGTGGTTTTACCAGATAGATATTAAATTTTAATGATGTTAAAGATTTACTGAGTTTCTTTCATAAAAATGCATTTCAAATGAAAAGATTGAGATAGATAGATAGATAGAAAAATAGATAATAAAAACCAATAGATATCCTCATTAATTTAACATGACTGAGATCAAAAAAAAGAAAGAATATCAGATAGATAGATAGATAGATAGATATATAATAGATAATAGATAATAGATTTTAAAATAACTTATTAGGAAATAAAAAATTTTATATTAGATAGATAGATAAAAAGAATATATAGATTGATAGATAAATAAGATAGATAGATATATTTAAATAAATTAGATGCACTGATATACTGAGATAAACTGAAAAAATAATATTAGATATATAAATATATAATAAATTGAGAAAAATTTCATGAAGATAATTTAGAATTGGATATTAAAATATAGGATAAATAGATAGATATGATAGATAGATATATAGATAGATCAGATAGATATGAATAAATTGATATAAATATAGATGAACTGAATAATAGGAAGAAAGAAAAGAAAAAAAAATCAAATGAATAAATATTTATAATAGATATACAATATAAGATTTAAAGATGATAAAAATAGAAAATTTTTGATAATATATAGATTTTTATATATATATTGATAGATTTGATATTACGTATAATTAATATATATATATTGATTTATAATTTAATATATTAAAAAAATATGAATTTAATATTTTTAAAAATTGAAATAGCAATGCATAATAAAAAATATATAAATATATATAATTTGTAAAAATATATTTATATATTGATATACAATTTATGAAAAATATTAACCAAAATATTTATAATTTATATTCATACTATAAATTATGCAAAATATTAGATAAATTGATTAATAGAGAAATACAGGAAATACAAATAAGTATATTACAAAAATATATATTTTTAAGAATTAATATTCAATATATATATAAAAATAAATTTAGATTATAAATATAAATATATATATATAGAAAATATGACACAGTGGTGAATAAATTTGTTGTCTAAATTATACGCAAAATGAAAATAACACTAACATCTCATTTTAACAGATATATTTACAAATTACAAAAAAATTACAATAAAATATCTTGAAATACTAAAGAGTAAATTTATTCAATAAAATCGCCATTGGCTTCAACCACGGCCTCCAGACGACTTCAGAATCACCTGCAGCACTTCTGAACGGTCTCCTTGTTTAAGTTGGTGAATGCTGCCATAATCCTTGCCTTCAGTTCATCTTTAAGTGTCACAAGGAGTTTTGTTGGTCTCTCGCTCAACTGCGCCCCACATATAATAATCAAAGGGGTTGCAGTCTGGGGAGTTAAGTAGCCAGATGTAAGGATTGATGTTGGTCGCAGAAATTGCCTGACAGCCATGACTGGGTTTTCCTGCTTGCGTAGCATGGTGCAGAGTCTTGTTGCTAGACATAGGGACTTCCAGCAGCCGTCCTATCGACCCAGGGCAACACTACCTATTCAAGGTACATGATGTAGGCCTCCGTATTGTCTGAGGCCCTCACGATCAAATCCAGGAGTTCTTTTCTTATCAGAACGATCAAAGTGATTTTTTCCAAACACCATACCGTAATCACCATTAGACTCATCCATCTCTTTCCGAATTCTCAGCACTCTCCTCAAATTGACACCCAAACACTCTAAAATGTTCGTATTGGAGCGAATGCCAAGCAGCACAGCATGCCATTTGCAAATTTCTGGCGAAGTGAATTGTGTCATGGTGCTCTTTTTTTTTTCACAGACGATATCCAAGTGACCCTACTATAGTGACAAATTAAAAACAAACAACGCGCATGCGCGAAAATAATAATATAAGATGGCGACAATTTATCTATCGCAACCTGTAAAATATTTAAATATATATGGGAATATATTTAAATATATATAAAATGCGACATGAAATTTAAGGGATAAATGAAAGATTTGCCTTAAACTGAAAAAGGAAAAGCAAGGTGTTAAGAAACAGGAACATTTCATAAAATGAAAAGAAAATAGTTTTCCTAGAAATCACGAATAAAAGTCTTCCTATATGGCAGTGAAAAATGATATCATCATAGATGAAGATATTCATGAAAATAAAAAAAGGGATTAGGACAGAATATATGCTGAATAAATATTTGATAGTCCAAACATGTGAGAAATGACGAAGTTTTTAGAAAAATGGAAACAAAATGGACATTTAGAATGACAAACATCAGGAAGAGAAAATGCCAATGGATGGAATATGAAGATAAGAGACTTAATAGAAAATGAAATGTGGTTCTACAGATGAAATAAAAAAGAATAACATGGAAGAAACATTTGAGCAATGATGATTTGATTATAGAAAATGGAAAAAATAAAAATCAATTTATAAAATTACTATTTAGGAATAAACCGTTGAAATTTCTAGGACACATAATGATCATTTAAAGATTTTTGGAATTTAAATACCAAAAATATTGACTGTCCAAAAAATAAACAGAATCACAAAACATATATATATATATTCTATGACATTATATAAATGGATGGATAAATACATTTTAGGTGAGCTAACAAAAAGAAAAATAAAACACACATATATGGGTTTGATAAATAAAAAATGTCAAACGTTATTAAGAGGTATAAGAAATTGTAAAAATCCATGATTAATGAAAAACGTTTTGTGGAATACATCACAAAGAAAAAGAAGAAGAAGAAGAAGAAGAAGAAAAAGAAGAAGAAGACTAAATATTAATATAGATAAATGCGACATGTGGTTTGATTAATTAAATATTTATTATAATTTAAAGTAATTTATAATAAAACCAAAATTAAATTAAAAAAAATAGAAAATATTGTGAGTTTATTATCTTTAAAAATGCTTATATACAGACATATTTTAATTAAGGAGAAGAATAATGTGTGCGGAATCAATTTTTTTTATAATATTTAAATTAATCTATATTATTTACATATGATATATATATATATAACTATTTACGTCCTAGAATCGCATTCATCCCCAACAAAATGACTAATTTCGCAGTTTACCCGTTTATTCATGTGCATTGTATATAAATTGTATTGTCAAAAGACTAATTTAATTTACAAATCTGTTTTTTGCATGTTTACTTTAAATATAAATAATTGTTTTTATATATATATATACAGGGTTCAAACCTCACAATGCCAAATTACATTTAATTATATGATAAACGAAAATGCAATTCATTTAATCGATGACGGAAAAAAAAAAAAAATAAAAAATAAAATTAAATTAAATTAAACAAAATTCAGCCAATATTTATTATTTAAAAATTTAAAGAAGAAATAATTGTAAATTTAAAATTAATAACATTTAATTTTATTTAATGAAAAAATGTCAGAAGAAAAAAAAAGAAAAAAAAAACTAAAAGCAAAAGATTTTAAAAAATCAAAATTAAATTAAAATAAATATATATATAATATATATACAATATATATATATATATATATATATATATATATATATATATATATCGTATATTGAATGAAATAAAGAAAATGATATAAAAACGAAAAAAGAATGTTTGCAAACGTGGGCAAAAACCAATTGATAGAAAAAAATTATTTATTATAATTTTTATATATAAAAAAAGATTTGAGCTTTTATTTTTTTTTTTTTTTTATAAAATGAAAAGATTGTTTCGAAATTCAGTCGCAAAGAAAAATAAAATTTTATATTTAAAAGTGAGCAACCTGAAATCGTCCGAATTTAAAAAAAAATTTAAATATATATATATATATATATATATATATATATATATATATATATATATATGAAAGAAGAATTATATTATAAAAGTTTGGAATTTTAAAATTTTAAAATGAAAATTTAAAATTTTCTTTAGGTTTAATAAACAAATGATTTTTTTTCCAACCATCGCCTGAAGATGTACAACCATATTATTGAAACATGAAAGCTTTTTTTTAATTTTAAATGTAAATTGTTTTTTTTTATTTATTATTTAAAATAATTTAATAATATTTTGCAATTTTTTGTATTCCTTTCATTTTTTTTAAAAAATAAAATTAATTTTTACGAATCAAAAATTTTACTCCATCTGTCCATTCTTTATATATATATATATATATATATATAGTTATATATATTATAAACAATATATATATATATATATATATAATTTTTTTACAATTTTTTATATATACAAATATTTAAAAATAAAAACTTGTTTATACTAACTAGAAAACCTTCCTCTGTAGCTAAATAGTATAGCACCTCAGGCTATATATACGGTTTAGAAAGGATATATATATATATATTCTTATCAGGGGAAAATATATTTTCTATGAAATTTTTCGGACATTAAGACTGGTAAATGTTGTTAATACTGTTTATTTAAACAGAGCAAAGAACTTAAATATTTTTATTTAAAAAAAATAACGTATAAACAGAAAATATATTAAAATAATTGTCGAACTTAGTCCATTCCATAATATATATATATATATATATAATATATATATATATATATATAAAAACCTGTACATAAAAATTACATATATACTAGCAGAGTATTTGATACATATATTTTTTCCTCTTTTCAAATATTATGAAACAGAGCTATAAATTAATATTATATATCAATAATTATACATAATATATTTTTATTCAATAGCACCATCCCTTGATAAGACACCAGAGAAGTGTTGAAACAATTTTTGTATTGATAAAAAAATAACTTATATTATAATTTTAAATAAATATTATATATGTATAAATATTTTTAAATAAATTGAATTTAGGAATATATACATAAAGTATATTACATATATCATATATATATATATATATATATATATATATATATATATATATATATATATATAAATATCTTCAAAAAAAAATGTTTGGTTGAATAATGTTGACATATTATGTCTATTTATTTTTATTCTATTCCTATTATATTCACGGATCAATTTCTTAATGTTGTTTAAAAACTCTATTTAAGGAAAGGTATCAAATTATCGCCATTTCTTTTATTTTCCTAAGTACTTTTAATTTCATCCAAGATCATCTTCAGGGTTGAATTGCTAAGACAAAAAAACATAATTGATAGTTGTGAATTTTTTTGTAAATGCGCATGAAACGCGCTCTGCTGTACTTATGAACACTGATGGACGCGAACCGTTATAGTCAAATTAAATATTAACTGTTTACAATATACATGTAAGGGAGGTAACTTAATGTATATTTTTTTATTAAGTTTAATAACAGCATTAAGAAACTGATCCTTTTCTCTGACTTTCTTTTTAATATTTTAAAATTTTAGGAACACCCAACGACGCGTTTGTTTGTTTAAAAAAAAAAATTCTTAATAAGCGTTCATTTTTTCATTCTTTCTCTTTTTTAAATAAAACGGCAAAATTTCAAAAAATAAAAATATTTAAGGATACTGTTCTGTTGAAACATTAATGTTAACTGATCACCAAATATATATCTTTAAAAATTTTATGATCAGTTAAAATATTTAATAAAATTTAAACCTTACAGTATTCTTAGCCGGTTTTTTTTCAATTGACTTCCTAACGTTTTGTTTAAAAAAAAAAAAAAAAAAAAAACAACGAAAAAATGAACGCTATATTATTTTTCAAACGTTTAAAACTCAGTAAATTTAAAAATAAGTTATTCTAAAATTCGCTTGAAGATGAAACAGAACTAATGCTTTTAATTTAATTATATAATTAAATTTCAAGTTTTTAGCTTCGGTTTTTGAAACATGGTAATTCCTGTGTAGCGAAGAAACCATATTTTAAATCAGTTAATTCATAATATTTAGGCTCTGTAAATTTACATTGAACACTGTTTTGTAAACATAAAAATATCAATAAGAACACCTGATTATATATCTTACTGCTCTTTCTTTTTACTATAATATATATTGTTCTCATCTGAGCTCTGGTAAAAACATGCAAAGATAACAACAAAAAAATTGCAATATGAGCACTTAAAAAAAATAGTTGCTGAGTCATTAGGTTTATAATACCCAGAAATTCATACACCGATGTCTTCAACGCACAGTGGATAAAGGTGTTGGTTAGTTCCAGTCACAGGACCCAAAGAGTGGGAGTTCAAATACCCGGTTAAGGCAGTAGTGAACTTGGAAAGGGGAATTAACAGGAGATAACTGATAACTGACATCCATTAAACATGGCCCGTGGAACTAGGACAGTCTACCCCAGTGAGCGAAATAAAAGGTTCAGTTCGACATTCCAACCACCTGAAGAAGGCTTTTTTACAACGGCCGAAATGTTGTAATAAATATGCCGACAAAGATGAGGTCAATAGTCCGAATAATGTAAATATTGGGAATAAATCATCCAATAAATCAATAAAAGCCATATTTTATAACTATAGTAGGAGCTGAAACTCACTCCTTTCTTTTCTTGAATCAGCAGCTAACTGTGCAGGTCTTCACCTAAATGAAACCAAAACTGAGTGTATGCCAGTTAACATTCGCAACAATCATGAGATCAAAACACTCTCAGATAACATCCTCAAATGTGTCGAAGATTACAAGTATCTAGGATCACACATCAAGAACTCTGAGAAAGATTTCAACATTAGAAAAGGCATAGCATGGACTACTTGTAACAAAATGGATAAGATCTGGAAATCCAATCTTTTTCGTCAATAAAAAAAATCCAACTTTTCCGCGTACTTATTGAACCAATCTTACTCTTTTGCTCTGAAACTTGGACTCTCTTAGCAAAACAACAGCGTCGTTTAGATGGATGTTATACACGTCTTTTAAGAAGAGTGCTTAATCTCTCATGGCGAAACCACCCAACTCTAGAAATGCTATATGGAGACTTGCTGAGAGTATCAACCTTAGTTTGCAAAAGACGTGTCCAGTTCGCCGGGCATTGTGCACGTGCCACAGATGATGAACTTGTCATCATTTGTATTCTGGAGGCACCCATCATCTGACAATCGATCACGCAAGTTAACCTTTCCAGATAGGATAAAACGAGACACATTGATCCCTAAGGAAGATCTTTTAGGTGCTATGACAGATAGGGAATACTGGAGAGGTGTAGTGAGTTCAATCTCGGCTGAGGCCGCAAGATGATGATGATGATGATGAAACTCCAAAATGGCGACAGCGTCTATCGCTTATGATTTTATTCCTTTATCTTTATTTAATTTTCAAGTGATTCGCCATTTTGACACCAACACCTTCTGTGCTATTTTCGGTCTATATTAACAATTCAAATCTATTAGAACTTATTCCTTTGCGCGCCGAACCCGTTCAAGACGTTGGTGATCATGAGCCTCCACAGCTTCCTATCCATTGCAGCTTTAAGAAAAACACAGTCTCCGTTCTATTATCCAATTATACAATCACTTTAGACAGGTTATTAGCTGAAACACTTCTCTTTAATAAGACCTGCGGGTGTCAAATCGAATTGAAGCGTTTTTGGTCGTTTTCAAGGAATAAAGGAAGAAATTTCCTCTGGTTTTGATCGACAGTCAGTTATGTGTCATGCCTGATACACACTTAGGCGATTATATATCTTTCGATACATGACTGACGAGGCAGATGTTTTCCCGCAGTAGTTTGCCATTTCTTTCTGTGGTAGACCAGTTGCCATCCAAAGCTATAGAACCCGGTCTGTCCTGCTATTTACTCATAGCTGGGCTGGGGCAGAAGAGTATTCGTATCTTTCCCAAGTGTATTTGCATGTAATTCAATGTAATGGATACAACTT